ACACAAAATTCCTGTCAATGTCAAATTCTCTAAAAAACCTGACCCCAAATTAAAATTGTTACTAAACAAAAATTATTTAGAATCACACAATTACAAGATCATTTACAAAATAACATGCAATATCTGCCCATGATTCTACATCGGAGAAACAGGAAGAAAGTTGGAAACCACATTCAGAGAACACAATAAAATACTGTCTCATGTTTTTTCACCATTGTTCCGTACTGTATATATATATCTGTGTCAATGTAAACTACTTGTACCTGATGATGACAAAACCTTGTTGGAACATTGTACGTTTGCTGTTATGTTAAACTTATATTAAAGTTTTTCTTCATTACCCATTCAAGCCATTTCCAAGCATTATTAGTCCCAAGCATAGACTCGTGTTAATATTTACCTTATTTTTCACAGGCATTGAAAGGGTGCGAATGCACTTTCATGTCTATAGCAGAAAAAGTGCTAAAATTTAGGAGCTATTTATGCCTATGTTAGCAATTAAATTCAACTAAAACAGGAAGGATCAATCAAAGGAGGAAGTATTTCAGGAGAAAACTGGAATTGGACTCGTTTAACTCACGAAATTCGGAGAAATCAAGCGTGAATGACCAATACTTTATGGCATTTCATAATCCAGGTGACAAGATAAACTTATAAAAATGATTAAACCTTTCCAAATATGCATTCAAAAACACAAATAACACATAATTAACTAAAATATAAAAGTAAATTCTAACTGTCTATCACACTAATATGTATAAGGCAAGAAAGTATAACCAATGGACTAAGCTTCATTTCTATCTCATGCGTACAGATCCATACACTGGTAATGTCTCTTCGCCAAGTTAAATAAATAATGGGAGATCTGCTCTTTCTATTGGTTATAAGCTTGCCATTCAACTTCAAACTATCACATAGCAACACAGCTTTGACCTTGCAAGTAGGTGTGGCTGACATTAAACATAGAAAAAATTTACAATGGTTTATTGTGGGGAGAAATTCTTGGAACATTTCCAGATGGTAATAAAATACATGTGTACAGTGGACTTCGACTGTCTAAGATAACAGTCTATATTATCTACTCACAGTTTCTTGTATAAAAGCTCTTAAAAGTTGAGAATTGTAACTGCAAGTAGATCAAGTTTTAACTGCTGTTTTAGACGTTTCTTTTTAAAATAAAGGAATAAAACTAGATAAGATAAAACCTTAAATTATAACATACTTGATAATAATAATTTCATTAAAATACATTGATAGCAAAGTGGTTTAATTAAATTTTGAATGTAACACAGTAACATGTGCAGAAAGGAATTTAAAAATGGCATTGGTAGTTGTCGAGTTTAAAAACTTGATATTCATTTAGGAGGTTCTAGAGGTTATGCAAATGAAATACAGGTGAAGAAAAGTATTTTATACTTAAAATTTAAATCATCTTGCACTCAAACTATTAATATTTTGAGTGCAAATAATTACAATAGATAAATAACATATTTTTAATAGAAAGACTTAATTAAAATAATGTCATTATTTGTGTACAAGATACTTATAACCTGTAACAAAATCTTACCAGTTGTTGTGAAGATACATTAAGAAATCTAAGAGTTACCTTATGTATTGTTGCACACATATCATTCCTCAGTCTAATTCCTGCAAATTGCATAAGGGTTAAGTTGGCAGAAACCAATCATTAAGAATAAATGTAAAAACAATATAAATGAAATTTTTTGATTAATAATTTTTTAAAATTTGGCTTGATTATAACTTTGTATTGTAAAAAAAGTTATTTTTAGTGTAAATCAGTGATTGTAAACACAGAGAAACTGTGGGTGGTATTTTTAAACTCAAAATAAAGATAAAATAAAACCTTTATTGAAAAGTTTTACAAGAATATAGGAAGTGTTAAAAATCAGTAATTTAAATCAACAACAAAGTTAAATATTTTAAATTGTTTCTTAAAGTCATATTGTAATGGAATCTTTTAAATTATGTGAAGTTGCAAGTTCATACAAATTTCAAATTTAAAAATATGACATTTTATTTTGCAGAAGCTACATAACCAATAGTAAACATCTCTCAAGTAAATTATTTCACCCAGTAGTTTTTTGTTTTTTTTTGTAATTTAATAAACCATAGAACATGAATCAATTTGAAGCACTTGGGCACAGGCATTTTAGAGTTAAAACAATTGAAATTGTTGTTAACTACTTATATTTATAGATTCACTTCTAGGAACAGTAAAACTATTATATTTTACTGGTAGTTTGGGGAATATTGGCTTATTATAAACATTTTATTTTCTACCTAGGTTCACTCCCAGGAACAATGGTAGCTCACCAACTGGCATCGGCTATAAAGGAAAAGTGTACACCTGAAGAAGCCCTATTGTTAATCAAAGATCTGCCCAATCCACTGCATGATGATGATGGTAGGTTTTGTTGTTGTTTTTTTTTCTCATAAAAGGTTCATGGACAATAGGAAAATCTTTCTCTAGTGTATTAATTCAGAATGAAACCCAAATGTAAAGTCATATAAAAAAGCAAGTATTAAAGTTCTAATTTGATTAAAAATTCACTGCACATGATACTTTGATGTTTAGACTTAAAGATGAAATGTTTGAAATAATAGCTGTGGTGATTTTAACCAAATCAATAAATCTTGGTTATTTGTAGTGAGTTTTTAAGTATTCTATACACATTTTGATTTTTTATAGAGTTGTATTTAATATATTTTTAATATACAGGGGTTGGAAAAAAAAGACATCTGCTTAAAGATATACCCATTTTTCCCCCCAAGTGATCCCTGGTTACTGAGTAGTAAGTCTGAGGGCTTATAATGCTAAAAATTGGTTTTCAATACCCACAAAACAAATACTTCCAGATCATAGATGGGCTAGACCCCTAGTTGACTAATTAATTTGTCTTTCCAGTGACCTCTCAGCTAGGTGATCTGTATTATTTAAACACATGTAAAGCTCTAGCCCACATTAGTTATCAAACATCATTGGAAAGGAGTGTGACTTTCAAAGAGGCCTGATTGTAATATCCTGCATTAACAGGTGCTTTAGTGACCCAAAGCAAATAGCACAGCTTCTTGATTTTGCAAGAGGAACATTACTGAAGGTTCTTGTAGTATGGCAGTTATCCTGTATGTCTCATCAGGTGGATGTAATAATTGTTGTGAGTGAATGATACCACCCTATTTGATGTTCAGTTGTGTCATCCAGGAATGGAACCTAATTTCTCATTATACATTTCAGGAATTTGTAGAAGCTCTAATGTAAAGAAGTAAATTGGTTCTACCAGGCAGAGGTAGACCAGATGGTATTAAAAGGATTCCACTTGAAGTTTGTTTGTTTTTGTTCAACTGCTGTATTTATTACAATTTGTGATGATATACAGAAGTTTATTTATGGTTCATGTGGTGTGTTATGAAATATATGTTGTCCATGTTTTATTTCATGTCATTCATTGTATTTATTATATTTATCATTTTATTATGTTGTCATTTCAGTTGAACCCACTCATAATCCTCTGAAGATCGAAGTGTTTGTCCAAACACTTTTAAACTTAGCCAGCAAGTCATTTTCCCATTGTTTTGCTGCTATTGCCAAGTATGAGCCTAAATGAAATTTTTACTTTATGAAAAGTATTTTATGTTAAGGACCTTGTTGTATGATGGGTGCTGCTATTGGAAATAACATGTATTTCATGTTATACATTTTCTGAAAGTTTTGGTTTTAAGATAACATTTGCGACTCATGATAAAACAGGGAGTGATATAATTTTATTAGAATCTTGAATGGGCATTTCGTAGATCACAAAGTTCAATGTGAAAACAGCTTTGTAAGTACTATATTTCTTGTTTTTCATGTGCATACTTTATTTATCATTATAAAAGTAACTAAAATGTAGAATTTAGAAACTTCTAAGGTTGGATAAGGTAAAGAATAATAATAATAAAACTTTTTCATTCCATGATTAGTTTAGAGAATCCTTTAGGACTTCTGGGATGAACCTACCTTTGATACTGGGGATAAAATGTAGGCCCTATTTCAAAAAAAAAAGAAAGAAAAATATTAATAACATACTTAATTTGCATTATCATTTGAAATGTTAAATAACAGTAAGCTTAAAGTATTAAACTTTATAAATTAAACAAAATACATTTTTTAGTTTGTTGCAAAAATCATGTGAATGTAATGTTGAACCATTGTTAGGTTGTTTGATAAAAAAAAGTTAACCTATAATTGTGTAATGTACAAAACAGTTTCCCCTTTGAAATGCACATACTGTATCACATATTTTACACTTTAAGTGTCTCACTATGGGCTCATTTGATTCGACTTAAATATTGACCCTAAATTGACTTTTGGAGTTTCTATGCTATAACTTCTAATATGTTTTGTGTATCTTCACAAAATTTCTCAAGTTTTCAGTAAGTATTAAGAGTCATTTGTAAACAAAAAATCTGAATTTTTAATGAAGTGTTTTCACTAAAAAGTTTTTCATGAATATATCAAGTCAAAGTGTTCACTGTTCTGAGTGCTGCAAAATGATTTTCGTGTTAAAATTAAAAAGATATTTCTTTGTTTGAAAAATCTCAAATTTCACTTGTATAATCACTAAAATTCCCTAAACAAGTTTCAAACGTTTTTTTTTTCAGTAAAACTGTTTTATCTGTTATTTTCTCAACCCTAACTCTATGAGGTTGGTCAGTTTGACCTACCTCTTAGCCACAAAAAAAAGATTACCCCATTTTTCTTTTTAGAATGACTTCAAATTGTAACATGAAACTACATTTGTTTATCCTAAATAGCTTTAAACTTGTAACAGCATACATCAACTTATTCTTAAATTTTCTTGTTTTATTGCTCTTTGAACCATGTCTAACTAAAATTCCCACCATAAAATTTTTGAGTTACTTGGTGAACATGGGGCTCACATTACCCCATCGAATTACATAAAGCGTGTGCTTCATGTGAGCGTACCTCCTGAAAAAGTTTTATTGTTATTATTCTTTACCAGATCTAACCTAAAAAGTTTCTAATTTATACATTTTAGTTACTTTTATAATGATAAATAAAGAATACACATGAAAAACAAGAAATACAGTACTTATCTGGTTCTTTTTTTTTGGCTGCTACTGACTGTCAATGCAACTTAACCCTACTTTTTTTTATAGTAATGGTACTACTGCACTAAATAATTTTTTATTTAAATAATGCACCAAAGAACACAGAATAATAACACACAAGAATCAGACAATGTCCTATAACTATCACAATTTTTCTGGCTTTCTAACTATGCGACAAAAGCCGCTACAAATTAAGCTAAGCTCATTGATGAGTTTTCCATGGAAATAATGTTTGAACTGGAAGCTAAATCGAACATTCTCTATACAGAAAACAATGTAATATAATACATCATTTGATAGATTAAAACTTTGGCTTTCTGTTGGTTATAAATATAGTATGTTTTTAATGTTGTCCTATACAATTAAGAACTTATATAATGTTAAAATTTGGATTATTAGCTATGTTTTTATGCCAAGTTTGTTCATATACTATGAAAGGAAAGTAGTTTAGATTTATTAGATTTTTAACATAACTCAGAAAAACTTCGTGACATGAGCAGAAAAGGATGCCCGTAGTGAGAGGGTTAATGAGTTTTCTGAATACTTTCATAATTAATCTTGTCATAATCATCATTTTTTAGCATAAAGACCCAGATTTTCTGCATGTTTTATTTTGGTAGTTTGTAAAAACTGGTCAATTAATCGTTATCAAAACTTAACTCAGTATAATGTTTTATATTAAAATTTCATTTACAAAGTAGGAAACAATGATTTATTTTCACTTTCAGATATTTTCAGCTTAAAGATGTTGGCTTCTCTGAATTATAATACTGACAATAATATATGTATTTGCCTTGTAAAATTCACGGTCCCTTTAAAAAGGGTGATTTATTCTTATTATGATGGAAAAACAGTTACTGAGCCCTAAACTAGAACATCTTTTAATAAACCTTTTTTTGCCATCTGATGAGTAAAGTGGACTTGCACCAGTTTAGCATTATGATGTATTTTAGAGACCTTCTGTTGAACTTCAGTTACTGGTGAATTGTAGTAATTAATAGACTATGTCTGAGCCATGTGTAAACCTAGTTACTTTGAAAATAGGTGCTATATATAGTGTGAGTTTTGTAAAATTCATAATTGCCTCCTAAATATAAAGTTTTAAAATAAACTTATAAAATTGTATTAAGTTTAATAGCTATCCACTAGGTTCTGTAAATAGATTTTAAAAGCACAATGTATTTAATCCTAATTGCTATAGATTAGGGATAGAACATTGACTTCTTAAGTTTATAATAAATTTTAATCACTATTCAAAAGGTCCTGTATTAAATGAAGCTATATTAAGTTCTTAATTTATGCATAATAATTCAATGATAACTAACTCAGTATTCAGACTAGTCGTTATTAAAGCTGTGAAACTATTATAAACTGTATTTCATACTTTAGACTTAACATGTTTTTTTTTTCGTCTTTTGCAGGTTTCACTATGTGTTCAGAATGCTAGCTTCATCTGAAGAAGCCCAAATCTGCATCTTGAGAAGCATGTTTGAACTATGGAAAAATCATCAGCAGGTTTATATCTTTGATTCTTGCAATAAATATACATTTTCTCTAATATTCATTATTACACAGTACTATGTTTCTGTAACAGCTGATCAAGACTTAATAATACATAAACACTTGTCTCCCAGAGGCTAAGTGGTAAGCTTGAGGGCTTCTAACTAAAAATTGAGGTTTGATGCCTGCAGAAGACAAAGCACAGATAGTTATTTGTGTAGTTTTGCTCTTAAAAAACATCAACATAAACACTACTAAGTCTTATAGTGTTCTTAAGTTAACCAATTTGACTCTGACTTATTTCATGTATATCCTAAGCCTTGCTGTTAATATCATATGCTTTTGTTCTACTCAACTTCCTTTTTAAAATTTATCTAGTAACTTGTTCTTGTTATATGAGATGTAAAGTAAACCTAAATCTTAAGTATAGCTATTAATGTTAGTTTTCAGTTTCTGTTTTGATATATTTTTTCTTGTTTCTTAACATTCTCAGTAATAAATATAATGATGTGGTTTGTTTTAGCATTTTGATAATAATGATGTTTTAGTTTCATGGTCAAATTTCTGTCTTGTAAAATATTTCTATATTATAAACCATATTAGATTAAGCAAGCCAAGAACTTAAAAAGACTTTAATTGTGGACTTCAATTCTCTAAAAGTTGTCCTTTCATTTTTTGTAACTGGTTTAGATGATGTGTGTATTCATAGACAAGTTACTTAAGACTCAAATCCTCGAGTGTTCTGCTGTGGCTAACTGGGTTTTTTCTAAAGAAATGGCTCCAGAATTCACAAAGTAAGTATAACTATTCTACATACAGTTACTTAAGGTTTAAACAGATAATGATATTAAAAATCATAGGAATTCCTTTTCATTATTATTATAGAAGCATAGATTCAATGTGTTTCATTTAATGTCATAGCATACCTAATTTTATTTGTTACATATATATCAATGGGAGCTTTTATTTATAGATTTTATATCTATGCTGCTATCGAATGTATTTTCTATGAAGAATATATTTTATTATACTTAACTCTCAGTAGTGATACCTCATGTTGATTTGCAGTATTAATTTGTATGTTTACAATCTTGAATTATTGCAAACATAATTTGATTAACTGTGGTTGGTGTGAATAGCACATTGGATGAGACCATTTTAATTCTTCTATTATGTGTGGTTTAGAGTTGCTGTTTAATCCCTTTGCCTTCTGGTAATTAATGAAAGCTGTTTTAACCCTTTGCCTACTAGTGAATTAGGATTGCTTACTAGGCTTTTCTTGGTCTCTAGGGTGTCATCGATATCCCCCTTTTTGTTTTTCTTCCTCACAGTGGAGATACTTAACAAATGGGATGACCATTTGAACAAACTTTCTTATCAGTGTTGAATCTTGGCTTTAAAAAAAATTCATATAATTTGATTTAGTCATATTTTGGGTTGTGAAGTTTCCACGATTTTGTTGTGAGATACTAGTTAACAAAATATATATTCCAATTCTTTTGTTTCAGAATTTTAATTTTTTTTAGTTATTCATCAGAAAATTCCATTTTATATATCCAGTCAGTTTCTACTTCACTGACATTCATTAATTTTTTTTAAGTTTATTTTGTCAATGGCAATAATCATGACTTTTGTCTTTAAGTCACACAAACTGTAAAAGATTTACCACTGCCTTAGGACCCGTCTTTTCAAAATGGTATCACAATTACCTTTGTCAGACTAGGTATTGTGATTTTTGCAAACAGTCTTCTTGGTCAAGTTCAATTTATATTTAATAGATCTAGATTCTTTTCAATAAATAACAGCTTATTTTATTTATGCGTATCGTTTGAATACAGTAATAGCAATATTTATTATATAAGGATTTGATTTCAGTGGACTGATGCTGTATTTGAGAACTAAACTCTGAATTTAAAAAGTATATCTTCACTAAATGTAGCCAGTTTTTAGTCATCAGTACAAGTCTGTTGTACAAAATATGTCTCTGAAATGCGAAAGTCAGTCTGACTCGGACTCCGACAAGTCAGGATGTAAAGTGATGTTCAAGTAAAGAATAAAAATACTTTTGTCCATCATACACTTTGCAAATTGCATTTTCATAACTTCTACAATCTCCTAAATGTATATCTACATTATTGTTTTTAGTATCCCTCTATACTGTATCTGGTTTTTTTTTTAACACAAACTGTTGCAAAATCAGTAGTGGAGAGTAAAAAAAATGTTGATAACTCTGACATCAGATGCACAAAATCAGGGCATGCACTCTTTGAACCCCATCTGTGCATGTTAGGGTTAAATGTATGAAAAACAAACAGAAATAGTTTCACAAAAGTTTTCCTATTTTTTATTTAAATATTTTATTTTGTGAAGTAAATAATTTTACTAGGAAAATGTTTAGGTAGATGAGAAACTAACACCGTACTTTAGCTACATAATACTATATATAAATAAGATAAATAAAAAAAATAGGAATTTTAAAAACCTACAAATAGGGATCATAAAAAAAAGTAAGCAAACAAGGCTGGAGAAACTATACACATTATTTACTCAAACTAAAATCCCATATTTTGGCTCCATGCTCTTACCTGAAATTACATTTGATGGTGTCAACATAGGGATTTGTAGTTTGAGTAAATAATGTCTACAATATCTCTAGCCTTGTATGCTGGCATTTTTTATTGAGTATCTACATGTTACAGTCATTTAATGTTCATCTATTATTGGGTAGTAATTCCCGTGTCACCCTGTACTTAAGTTTTTTAAAGGAACACCTGATGTTTGTAAAAAAAGCTAACTTCAAGGGGTAATGATAACGTTGCTTACACTAAGATTATGATATTTTTCAGCATATGTAAAGTATATAAAAACAATTTAACTTTTCAATAACCCTACAATCTTCACAGTACCTTATTCAGTATTCAACAAAATGTTTGAGTGCAATATACCAAGCCTTTTTTATTGTAGGCTGGTAAGAGAATAATAATAAGAATTAAAAATGGGCTATTTTGAGCAGATTTTCTTTGTAAGTCTGACATGCATGATTTTTTGTGTATTTTTATGTGTACAGCCTTAGTAGTCAATAGTAAAGGTTTTAAAGTGTTGTTTGAACTGAATCTGTACTGTTTAAGGTGCGTTTTGTGGACATTATATTAGGGTTTTGTGCAATTCCTTGTGATCCCTGTTATGAACTACTATCATAGTTCATGATGACACTTGGTTTGTTTGGCGTGGTGTTGTGACATGTGGTATGCAGATAGTCAGTTACAAGTTAATTCACTGTATTTAATGTCAAGTATTCCATCATGGGAATTCAGTTGTATAGTTGCACGCCTTAGCTAAATTATCCAATACACAGCTGATCAGGAGGCTGGCTGCATATGATATTATGTACCTAGGCAATGTGGCACAGCTTTGAACACTGCATGAATTGATAAGCAGGAAGACAGCTGATGTAATCAGGCTGCTTATATGCTGGCCTTTTCATATTCATAAAAATATTGTAGTATTTTAAAAATTGTTGATGAATTCAAAGGCATATATTGTATACATTGATGGCACTTCACTAACTAGAAACTTTCTGAGGAAGTAACTACTATTGCCTAGGTTTAAAAGATGCTTCATATATGTTTTTGTTGTTTTTTTTTTACTAGAAACTTTATATGGAAGATTTTTCTTTCTTTCATTCCTTTCTTTACTGGGGTCTTTTTATATGAAATACCAGATCTGTTTTGTTTTGTAAGTCTATACTAAGGCCCATCTAATGTAAAATATTTCCTGTGCTTTATGCCATAAACTCCTTACCAGGCAATGCAAAGAAGGTTTTAGGTCTAACAAAAGTAATTACAATCACATTTGACTGCAGATATCTTTAGTTGAACTTCCTTTGTGGAATTTGAATCGGAGCATTTTGAATACATCTTTCGTCTGCCATAACTAATACCAAAGGCCTTTATTCAATCTGAGAACTCGAGGAGCATTTCAGATATAATTTTGTCATCCAGCTAATGAGCTCTGGTTATTAAGGAAAGTTATACTAAAGAGTGATTTATGGCAGACATAAGATGGTTCTGAAATGCTATTTTAGCATGTGTCTGATTTGAAATCTTTCTGGACTAATACTAGGGTCTATGGAGGAGAGGATAAGTAGTTTGTAGCTCCTTTACTAGGTTTTGTGAGGGTGATGATAAAAAGGTAAAATTTATTTTACTAAGGCCTGTGGAGGAGAAGATAATTAGTTCATGTTTTATTTACTAAGTTTTGCGTGGGTGGTAAGAAGTTAGAATTTTCTTTACTAAGGATAATCTGGCATGATCTAGTGGTTAGGGCACATGACTTACAATCTGTGGATTGCAAGTTTGAATTTCATCATTGAAATTGCTCACCCTTTCAGTTGTGGGGGAATTATAATGTGTGGTTAATCCCACTTTTCATTGGTAAAAGAGTGGCCCAAGAGTGAGTGGTGGTGACTAGCTGCCTATTATGTAGTCTATCACTTCTAAATTATGGATGGTTAGTGCAGATAGCTGTTGGGTAACTTTGCATGAAATTCAATAAACAAGCAAATAAATATTTACTAGGCTCATGATGGTGAAGATAATTGGTTGTGTTTTCTTTATTAGTGCCTGTGTGAGCAAAGATAATTATTTTGTATTTCTATTTACTAGGGCTTGTGTTGGTGAAGATAATTAGTTAATATTTTCTTTTCTAGGGGCTATGTGTGGGAGATACTTCATTTGACTATCAAAAAGATGATTCGACATGTAGAGAAAATGCAGACAGAATTAAGTGAAGCACGAGTTAGGCTACAGAAGGTAAGAGAGCTGGAGTAAATGGTATTTTAATACTTGTCACTGTTACTTTACTTGTTTGTTTTCTGCTACTTCTGAGTTTTTCTTCATCATCTGTGTCATTTTCTGTGATTTGTGTAAATCCGGTTAAAAAATATAGGGGGTCCAGCCTATGCTACCATGCTGTTCCACGTGCTCACAATTTTTAGTAAACAAAGAGTATGGTATATAATTATAATGCGACTCCCTCATTGGCTGCTTTCCACGGAACATTCCACTGCACATGCTCTGTGCATTATAGCTATGGCTGCGTTCCTCATGCCCATGTGAGGACAGCAATTTTTCAGGTAAAGCTGAAATATAATTTGTCGAAATCCGTCTTTATAATGCGCTATCCAACTTGAAAAAACATAATCAGTTGATCACCGTCTTTTCATATGTCAACATATTTATTAGATATGCCAAGCCATTTATCCTAAAATGAGCTATAGAACTTGGATGAAAATTCTTTTGGGTTTATTTCATCATCGAGCCAGTCAGTCACCTTCTAGCCACATGTCGTAATGTAAATGGACACATTATCTTTGAGATCAAAATGCTTGGACCTAAAGGGAGTACTTTTATTCTAAATTCTCAAAATTTTCAAGTTTAGGCAGTAACTTGTCTGGTTTCATGTGGACAATAATAGGTTTTTTATTAAGTTAGCAAATACAATGATCAACTATTTATTGTTCATAGGTGAGGAACCAGAATAGATAACCCCTTTACTGAGAGAAACAGTGAATTTTTCACAGGATACAGTGCACCTTAAAATATTCATATTTTGTCCCCCAAACATGCTCAGAATTGCTCTGAGATCACTTAATTGAGAAAATTTTTTCAGGAGGCACTGTGAGCCAAACTTATTCACACTACGCACTCATAGCCTGCTCTGCGAAATTTAATTATTTTTTTTTCTTCTGTTGACTTCTCTATCTACTATTGTATAAATGTAACCATTAATTTTGTTTGCCGTGGCTGAATATGCTCTAACCATCATAACAGTATAGTGGCATCATGATAGCAATTGTCAAATAAAAGAAATCTTACTGAATAATTTTAGATAATAAATGAAGACAAAAATGCATTTTTTCATGAGTCTACTAAATCCAGCATTATCCAAATGGTAAGTCAAGGCAAGAAGAAAATATTTCATACTTTCTTACTTGTGTAAACGGCTGCAAAATTGAGAAGGTGATTTTACTAAAAATATTTTCTGTACCATGATTTTAAACATTTGTTGGTATTGTTTCAAATAGTCTCCTCTTTTCATTCCAAAACTAGTTTTTCTTAATCCACCTTAGTAAAAATATCATTTCTTATTGAGCAGTTGTTAAATATATTGACAAGAAACTGTCAACTTTACTGCTGTCTTTTTCACTTTAGTTCTCATATTTTGAGAGATTTAAAAGAAAATCTAAGGTAACTAAAACATTTTGATAGCTACTACATTAGTATTCTTGAAATTATTGGACAGTTTACTATAATTGTGATTGTTTAATATTCTATAGGTAGAACTTAAAAAAAAAGGTCTTTGCTCTGATGTAATAACTTATTCATCAGATATGTTTAAGTGAAAAAATACAATGAATTTAAATAAGGTTATGAAAAGTAACAATATATAAACTGAAAACCAACTGCCTAATATGCTCTTTCTTTTTTTTATATCAATTTTGATGTAACTGGAAGAGAATGCTCAATTTAATAGACACTGCTGTATTGTTTTGAGTGCCTTATTAGAAAATAATGAACACACTTTAAGGCTACTTTATTCACCTATAATATACATTAACCAATATGAATGGTTTCTTTCATTTTAATAATAGAGATCTGGCTTGGTAGGGTTATTATACAAGCTCAGGATTTATAATTAATTTAAGCCATGCTTTGAAGAGCTTTTAATACTAGATTGTTTTCCCAAGATAAATGAAATTGCTTGAAGTATTTATTATTTTTCTTTAGGGTGTGTTGGTTTTATAAACCAGTTTTGCAAAAATCATTTTTATAAGCCAAAAGTAGATGGTTAACATAGTTCATCTAATATTGAATTACATGGAATGTCAACATTCTTGATTAACCAACTTATCTATAATCTTGTAACATCTTTTTTTTGGTTCAGATGTGGTTTTACGGCCATTCACTGTAACATTGTTAAAAAGTTAACACAAATATAACAGTAGGTGTGAAAGAAAAAAGTGTTTTTTTTGCATCGTTTAATTAATTTATTTAGTATATGCTGATCTTGTATAAATTATATAATGAATAATGACTAGTTCAATATTTGAAGTAGAAGTCCTAATGTTTTAAGTGCACCTTCTTCAGGCTGAAGAAGATGACGAAGATAGTGGTGATGATAGTGATAAAGACATCCCAACTGAAGAAATGATAGAACGTAAAGAAGAACGCTATGACACAGCTCAGAGTGACTTAAAAAACCTTTTCCTCATTATTTTTCAGGTTGTAAAACTTTTTACTATTTGCAGTTTACCTATTTCTACAAACTCACAAAATTCTTATTGAGATATATGTGGTTGAGAATATTATGTATGTTTTTCTAGTTATATAAGAAGTTAACTAGTAAAATATGGATATTCATATTGAGATATATGTGGTTGAGAATATTATGTATGTTTTTCTAGTTATATAAGAAGTTAACTAGTAAAATATGG